TGTAAGGTCCGATCCTTTTGGTCTTTCCCTTTTCTTAATTACTCCTGGCATTTTTATATTTTCCAGAGAATCTGGTCTGGTGACTCATTAAATATCTGACTTTCATTTTCCAGGTATTCACCGATTCACAGGTCTCGTTCATGTGAGTATTTAACATTTCGTTAGTTTGTATAACTATATATGATGTTTCTTTATCACAAATTAAATCTTGTACAGATGCGCAGCTCTGGTTCAGGTCACTATTTAAAATTTCGTTAGTTTTTATAATTGTTTTTGGTATATCATTATCACAAATAAAATCTTATTTATCTTCATCAAATTTGGGACTAGAAAATAACTATGCATTCTTGTATAGATGCACTTGTCTGGTTTAGGTTGGTATTTAAAGTTATGTCACTTATAATAATTATTTTTAGTATTTCATTATCTTTGATTTTATCTTTATCACATCTGTAACTCTCATTTTCTTGTATAGATGCATAGGTCTGGTTCAGATTAGTATTTAAAATTTCGTTACTTATTATCTTTGGTGCTGGTCCTTGGTCCTTAGTATTAATAATTTCTATATCAGTGTGGGTAACATGATAACTTTCATCGTTTTTGTTCATGGTAGTCACAATATCAAGAACATTGTTAGGTTTGATGTTTCTAGTCACTAAATTAATTAAACCATCAGATTTTTTTGTCGATTTCTTTAAGTGTAGCGCATACGGGGATAATTCGAACATTTTTTTCAATATGACTGTAAGTCCTTGATTAACGAGAGTCGTTACAAGTAAGTATTATTACAACTCAAGGCTACTAAATCGGTTATACGAGTATATTATATATAATGTAGGCTAATAATAATAATAAACTTTATTGTAAAACTAAAAAGGTATATTTTACAAATGGTGTGAGTTCAGCAGCATGCTGTTCTTCCACTCAAACCCGGATACATTAAAAATAGAGATATATATATATATATATATATATATATATATATATATATATATATTTATATAAAACAAATTATTTATAAATTGTGATCGTTTAACAAAAAGCATTTAAGATATTGCTTAAAAGTTACAATATTGTTATTTAAATTAAATATTTCAAAAAATCTATTTACTATTGTTGGTGCCAAATATTCAAAACAACATTCACATTTAGAAGTTTTGTGTATTTGAATAGAATAATGGTTTTTATTTCTAGTATTTAAGTTGTGGTAATAAGAAAGTCTTCTTAACAATATGTATAGGTAATGTGGGTTTTTATATTTTAAAACATTAAAGACAAGACTAGCATATTGTAACAAAAACATAGAATTGTATTTGAGAAATTGTTTAGTAACATAAACAGGTGTAACATGTTCACGATAATTAACATTAAAAGAATACCTTAAACAAGAATTTTGAAGTTTTTGAAGTCGTTCTTGATAATATAAACTAGTATAAAAATAGTAAACTGAAGAACAGTAATTTATAGGACTTAAAATTAGGGTTTTTGACAAGTTCCATTTAAAATTATTATTTAAAAGATATTTAAAACTATATATTGACTTGAGTTTAATGTAAGAATTTTTAATAAGTTGACAAATATGTTTATCAAATAAAAGGTTTTTATCCATTACAACTCCTAATTTTTTTACATAGTCTTCAAATTTTATCACAGACTCATTTAACATAATATCACAGGTTTTATAACTTAGTGCTTTAGATTGCAGAATATTCATACCGATGCATATAGACACTGACTTTTTAGGATTTAAAAATAAGCCATTACACTTAGACCACTCACTAACACTCACAAGGTCTTCATTGATGTCTCTTGATGTCTCGGATTGCTGAGTTGATGCATGTTGCGGGGCATGAGATGTATAGCTGAGTATCATCAGCATACTGATGAATGGTGCTGGATGATACAATTTTACAAAGGTCCGATGTAAATATCGTAAAAAGTAGCGGCCCAAGAATGCTTCCTTGGGGAACTCCTTTGGTAACGCTCGACAATGTTGAAAAATGATTGTTCAGTTCAACGCATTGCTTGCGATTGGCCAAGTAATTTGAAACCCAGTTTATGACAGATGTGTCAAAACAATAATATTTAAGTTTGGCTAGTAGGAGTTCATGATTTATAACATCAAAAGCTTTACTAGTCTAATAAAACCAATAATGTTACTTGGAAGTTGTCTGTTGCCCTAGTGATGTCGTTAGTGATTTTTAATAATGCTGTATTTGTACTGCAATTACGTCTGAAACCTGACTGAATAGAAGGTAAAATATTTATTTCCGAATAATTTATTATTTGATTGTGGACAATTTTTTCCAATATTTTTGATGCGATGGGTAGAATACTTATCGGCCTAAAGTCAGCAGGTTCAGTCGGTTTATTTAATTTGGGTATTGGTATGACTTTTGCTGTTTTCCATAACTCCGGGACTATACCAGTTTCAAATGAGAGATTTATATTATACGTTAAGTGTGTAAGGCAATATGGTAATATGATTTTAAACATTTTTAGGTTTAAATTATAAATTCCCTGTGCATTAGATGTCAATGTTATAAAAACTTTCAAGACATCCTCCTCGAGAACCTGGGAGAAACTAAATCCATTAACAATATTGGTGCTAACATTGCTATTATAAAAGTCCAATGTATTTTGTGGATTTGTAGTACTTTTGACGGAATTAACAAAGAAATGATTAAGCTCTTCAGCATTAAAAAAATCTGTGGGTACTTCAGCTGGTCTATTTAAATGGATGTTTAACCTATTTAGATTCTTCCATAATGTTTTGGAGTCATTTTGATACTTATTTATATGATGTTCAAAGTAAGCTTTCTTTTCACGTTTAATTGCTCCAATAAGATAATTTCTTAGAGTTTTAAAATACTGAAAATCTAGTATACTTCTTGTTCTTAAAAACTTTTTGTAAGCTTGTTTTTTTAGTTTTGCCATTTCTTGAATTACTGGCGTTATGTAGGGGTGTTTGGGCTAATGAAGAGTGAAGGTTTTTAAAGGAGCATGAAAGTCATATAATGACAAAATTGCATTGCTTAAAAAATTTACTTTATTATCTATATCAGTATCTGCCAATTTATTTTAATTGCGTCCTGAGCAAAATCATCATGTCTAAAATTTGAGAAATCTCTAAAAGTAATTTTTGTTGGTGGTATTTTGTTATTTTGTATAAAGAGTTTGCATTTTACAAGCAAGTGATCAGACATATCCAACAGGTCAGTCGTTGTACATTCACAGAACTCCATATCCTGGCTGATACAAATGACATCTATTAAGGATAGGATAAGGTGTCTGTCACCCGGGTTTGTTCTTGTACTATCTGTTTGAGGTTATATACCTCTAATAAATTCATTAATTTATTTTTAATTGATGAATTTGTTAGCAGATTAATGTTAAGGTCACCTACAAAAACGATTTTATGATAATCCAGATTGGCTTGACAAATTGCATCTTCGAGATCATTTAACATGATATTAGGATCCGGAGGCCTGTAAATAACTCCAAAAGCATAGGTGGATTTATTTATATTAATTTTAATCCATAACTGCTCTAAACTTTTATCATAACTTGAATGCAAATTTAACATTTGAGCTTTTAAAGAGTTATGCACATACCAACATATTCCGCCACCAAGCGTAGGCCTATCTTTTCTAATAATTATAAAACCAGGTATATAAACATTTTTATCAGGTATAGATTCTTTGAGCCAAGTTTCAGTCACGCCTATTAACTTGAAATCGTTAGATATTATATAGTTGTAAAAATCATTAAAACATGATATAATATTCACAAGGATGAGGTTTACGTCTCGAGTCGCTTGACGAGAGACCTAAATCATCCGAGTGAATATTGGGCATAATCTCGAGTGTTTATCCAATAAGTAGATAATTAAATGATTTTCAAAATTAAATAAATAAAATCTGACATCTGTCAAATGGTTAACCTTACTTTTTACCAATTTTAAATGTTATTATAGTCGCCTTCTTCCAATTTAAAACTCGATTGATTCAAATCACAGTGAATACTGAAACCGACCAATCACTGATGCCTAACAACGTAAATACTGAGTTTATTATTCACGTTGTTAGGCAGGAAATTTATAACGCTTAACAATATTCACGGAAAAACATCAAAATTATGCACTAGGAGTAGATACAAATATTTTCACTGATAAATTTTGTTATTTCTATGTAAGAACTAAATTTTTCCCCAATATACAACCTTAAATAATTTACGAAATATATTTACATAATTAAAAGTAAATTTAATAACAAAATACTTGCATTATAACCACTGTTTAATTAATGAAGCCGTTATTATAGAAAAATAATATAATCATAACCTCAAAATTTTAAAATAATTGTCAGAAGTCGGGACTCTGGTTAAGTCCCGAGTCGGTACAGAATATGGCTACCGATTTACAATGTGTGACGTCAAATTATGACGTCACGTTTTTGGTTAGATAAAGTCTTTTAGGCGCTAGAGTTGTACTCCATCTATGATTTTAACATGCAGTGTCTGCAAAAACACATAGACAAGCCACGTCCTTTGGACGATAGATAGTGAACTTTCGTTTACTGTGCTACCGCTATCGTTTATCCTGCCTTCTATGAAGCGGCATGACTTGTTGTACAGATGTGTTCCAAACCACATGACTACCCGCCACTGACAGTCTGTCTGTCAGTCACTGACAGTCAGTGCCTGGTGAGGAGCACATCTGTAAGAAAGCAAAGTGACGAGGTTCTAAAAGTTTTCTATTTCTATAAACCGTTTAAAGTTTTTTGAGAAAATAAAGTGTTTTTATTTATATTTATTTAATTTACAAAAAAAGTTTTAAGGTTTTTGTTGAATAGAGAGTAACTTTTAAAAAGTCATAAATTTGACGGAATTTGTATACAATGTACATATATACAAGTAATGAATTATTAATGAATTTCAAAAATTTATCTATTTATCAACAAAATAAAAATCCAATTTTATTTCGTTTATATTTTTGTTAGGTTTTGTGCCAAGAGAACACAGCGCATTTGGACAAAGATACACAGTACAAGCAACAGAGGCTCTTTCGGAATTCGAAAAACTACAAAACGCCGACCAGGCAGCTTTAAATCAACTGGCCACAATTGGTGCAATTCAAAGTGGAAAGTGGGATCCGAAAACGTTGGAAGATAAAGCGGTAAGTGTAAAAACACTAAAAAAAGAATATTGCGTTTATGCATCAAAATTTGTTAATCAATACCATTTATAAAAGTGGGTTATGTGAAAATGTGTTCTATTTAATAAAATGTTGGTGGAATATGATACGACATCCGCCTTATGTGCATAATTTTACACCTGTGTATTATTATACTTTTAAATATTACACAGTTATTCCCAGTCACAGCTATTTTTCTTTAGAGGTAATTGATAAATAAAAAATATTAAACTAGGTCAAATTGCAAAATCATAAAATCCTTAAAAAAATATTTAATAAAATCATTAAAATAAACATACTTAGCTTGTACAGCTCCAAAAACCAGGTTCATAACCAAACTACACTTGAATTCGAATTGTACAAGTGGTCTCAGTGCGGTTGTTCTAGTGGCGGCCGCTCGGGGCCCGGGTATTCGATAGAGGCCCGGAAAGTTTAATAACATTTTTTTTAATACAAAACTTGATTTTATATTTTATGTACGTAATTCTCTTTTGAGCTGATTACATTGGCAACTTTTTAAAATTATAATATTAGATATTTGTATAACATGCAGTTGCAGCACCATTAATGGTACTAGGTACTTCCTTAATTTTGGCATGAGAAATCACGTGGTCATTTTGTAAAGTTTTTGGTCATTTTTGTAAATGTCCTGAGCCCTATGCGACAAAGTCAGTTTTTTACTAAAGTAAGCTCAAGAAACCTGCTAAAAGGATTTAATTTTTAACACATAAAAATATAACACATATTTTAGGAAAAAAGTATTCTAAACTGCTCACCACTCAATGTGTCGCGACCAAAAATTTCGTCCTTTTTCAAAACGACATAACTTTTTTGTTTCTTGAACGATTTTATTTTAGTTTGTGATGTCTGGTAGCTCCATTCTCTGGCAGTTCATGCTATTAATATGAAGCTTACGGTTCTTCACGAAAATTTCCTACAGGGTGATATGTAAAAAGGTGAAAAATTTCAATAACTTCATCCAAGCCCCGTTTGTAAACAAAATATTTTTTCTCGTTTTAACTTTGACATAATGAAGTATTATGTCTTACCTTAAAACATTTTTCAAATTTTTCGATTTGGAATCTTAGCAACAAAAATATGGATGAATCGGTAAATTCGATTCAGGAAGAATGGGAAGCCATATCCCAGAAATTTCTAAGGAACTTGGTCAAGGGAATTCCCAGGAGGGTTAACGAATTATTACGGGTTAGGGGAGGGCCAACGAAATATTAAAAGTTATTATTGTTATTGTTTGTTACATTTTTCTGTTGAATGTTGTAGTTTTGATTATGATTATATCTTCGCATAAAATTTTCAAAAACGAACAAAAAAATGTTGTATTTAACTTTATTACCAATTAAGTAGGTACTTATCAGTAATAGATTATCACTAGTGCGCAATATAAATGTAATTTATGTAACATTATCCTAACCACTCAAACAAATTGCAGTAATTTCGCCCAAAAAATGAATCCCCAAACGGCATTGCCAAAGGCGTGTTATTGAGACATTTAACAGCCGGGAATTGTTTTTGAATTTTAATTCTTGGTTTTTATCTGAAACTTAAATTTGACAACTGAATCAAATCAGGATGTCAAAATTATAAAGAAAACATGTCACGAACGTAAATATCGGTTCAGGTTTAGTTTTAGCAAATTTTCATCAACATGTCATTTTAAAAAAGTGGTCTTTGCTTAGGTTCCTTTGAAAATAATGTAAATAAGTTTGTTGCTTGTCGCTTGTTCAGAATTACTTAAGGAACAATCTTTTACCATCTTATCTTTTTGATCTTAAAAAGGCTGAGTGTATTGCCTACAAAAAAGCATCAAATGTACTCTTTTGAAAAAAAAAATTCATATTTTTGTTGCTAAGATTCCAATTCGAAAAATTTAAAAAACGTTTTAAAGTAAGACATAATACTTCATTATTTCAAAATAAAAACAAGAAAAAAATATTTATTTTACAAACGGGGCTTGGATGAAGTTATTGAAATTTTTCAACGTTTTACATATCACCCTGTAGTAAATTTACTTAAAGAACCGTAAGCTTCATATCTATAGCATGAATTTCCAGAGAACGGGGCTAGCAGACATCACAAACCAAAACATAATCGTTTAAGAAACAAAAAAGTTATGTCGTTTTGAAAAAAGACGAAATTTTTGGTCGCGACACATTGAGTGGTGCGCAGTTTATTAGGGCCTTTTCATCTCAAATCGACCAGGCAAAAAGGGGTAGGTCGTTATTTCTTAATGACATTTTTTTACAGTTTCTCTACCGAAATCGCTGAGTAGTGATGCCGCGAGACGAGACAAGACGAGAAAAGTCCTTCTCTCGTCTCGTCTCGTGCAGCGAGAGAAAATGGGTCTCTCGTCTCGTCGAGAATAGTCTTTTCTCGCTCGAGAGTGCCTTTCTCTCGTCTCGTCTCGTTTCTCTCGTGGTAAAAGTACCTAAGTATGAATACAAAAATTATTTGGAATGAAATACGAATTCGTGTATATTTTTTTATATAGAAATTTAAACTGGAAATAAAAAAAAATGTGTGCCAAGACCACACTAATAAAGTAAGACTTTTTACGCCGAAAATGTCGCGCATTTGAATCAAATGGTTGGATCTATGTGGAGTATACTCCACATACTATAGTTACATCTAGTATAGGTGTTTCTTTTAACTTGAGACAGCTCAATATCTCGTGAAATACGCATTTCACAGAAAAATGTCTTAAAGAAAAGGTTAATTTGACCAAAGGGGACATTATTTGGTGCTACCGCTAGCCACCCCCTACCCCTCCTTAAGGGTGAAACGGGGGGTAAATTTAGAAAGTCAAAAGGAATGACCCGATTTTTTTCACAGATTTTGGTAGTACATAAAAAATTAAAAACTTTTATTTAAAACTTTTTTTCAATTTATCAACAGATTCAAAATTTAAGAAAATTGGATTTCCTTGTAAAATGTATTATTTGAAACGTTTGAAAAACAAAAATTAACATTAAATCAACAATAGTCGGCTCTGAAAACAATTTATAACAAATGTTCAAAATGTCATCTTTTCATTTCGACACATTTTTGAATGCGGGTAATGAATTCTGGCTCCACCATGTCCTCCCGAGTTGTAGGAATTGCAGCGTAAACTTTTTCTTTCAAGTAACCCCACAGGAAGAAGTCTGGCAGATCGTGGTGTCGAAATGGAAGGACGACGTTATAAATTGTTTTTAGAGCCGGCTATTGTAGATCGAATGTTCATTTTTGTTTTTCAAACTTTTCAAATAATACATTTTACAAGGAAACCCATTTTTCTTAAATTTTGAATTACAGCGCCATCTGTTGATAAATTGAAAAAAGTTTCACATTAACATTTTTCCGTGAAATGCATATTTCTCGAGATATTGAGCTGTCTCAAGTTAAAAGAAACACCCTGTATCGGCGCAGTAGTTTTCAATGGATCAAATCATTTGATCCATCCATCTGAAAACTACTGCGCATATATGATGTAACTACTCCACATCAAATTCTGAATCAGGGACCCCATAAATATCTGAATACTAAATTTTACCTAAACCATTAAAGCCGAACGACGAATTTTCGTCATATTGGATCAGCCATTTTATTTAAAAAAAAATGGATATCAAATTTGTAATCAGGCCCTCAAAAACCACATGTTGTTGATAAGTTTATTGAATAAGCAATGCTTATTAAGCATACGGTTTTTTTTAATAGTATAAAAATTGACATAGATGTGCTTATACAGGGTAAATTTTAAAAATTATTATTTTATAATTATTTTTTTCTTGATTAACGTTAAGTTGTGTTATAAAATAATACAACGTTAACCAGGAACAAATTTTGTTTATTATGAAATGCGAATAATGTCCTCATTGGTCCAAATAAATATCGTCATTTATGTGCAAAATTATAATTTTTATGTAAAAAAAATTGTTTACTTATTACCGGAATAATCGAGAGAACGAGAGAGATCGAGAGAAACGAGAAATTCTCGAGCGAGAGAGGGCATTCTCTCGTCTCGTCTCGAGCCTTTTTTCGAGAGAAAATCGCCCTCTCGTCTCGTCGAGACGAGACGAGACGAGACGAGAGGCGAGAATCTCTCGTATCGGCGGCATCACTATCGCTGAGACCCGTATTTTTTCTTTTTGCGTAAGATGTATCGATTATGCCGCGGCAGGCCGTATTCCAGCCGTAAGCGGGCCGGCTAGGACAAGGATTTTGCAGCGGCATGCCGTATTCTGGCCGACTTCGGTTAGAACATGGCTAAACGGTACCGGGGTAACATAAACCGTCGGTCAACCGCCTATGCCGAGCGAAGCCCGACTGTTTGCCGAGTGTTTGGTGCTTACTGGGATCGATTTCGGTAAAGAAACTGTAAAAAAAATTCGGTGAAAAATAACGACCCACCCCTTTTTGCCTGGTCGATTTGAGATGAAAAGACCCATTAGGATTTATATTTAGCGATATTGGGCTATTTTTAAGCTGATTTAATCTAAAATTGCCATAGTTTTTTTTTATCTAACATAGGGCGCAGATCAAAGTATTTATAATATTTAAAAAAATGGCCGAAAATCAGCTTTACAAAATAAGAATGACCACAATTCTACTAAAGTTTCATTGAGATCGGTAAATTTGTTTAAAAATGATATACCATATATATACCGGTAAGGTTTTGTTTTCGAAAATTTCATTTTTACAATAACTTTGACAAAAAAAATGGTCGAGTCATTATTATGGTTAATTATAACCAAATAATCAATATTAGTATGTACTTGCCTTAAAAAAACAAAACCCACAAGTCGCTAAAGATTTAGCAAACAGTTGTTTAGTTTGGATTGGAAATTTGAAGAGGCACTACGAAAAAATATTCAGGGGATTAAGGGGGACCAAAAACTGTACCGCCCGGGACCCGGCGAATTCTTAAACCGGCACTGAGTTGCCTTAATCCTTTATAGTTAATTATAATTCATTGTTAACTATAATAGTTAATTATAATTATATACAGTGTGTTTAGTTAATAATGAAACCAACACTAAGGCCCGTTATTTCCATTGCGAGTTAAGTGCGAGTTAAATCTAAACTTAAAGTTAAATTTGAAAATCTATATTTCAATATCTGGATTAGTCTAATTTGTGAGTTAACTCGCGTTTCAATTAACTCGAAGCTCAGGTACAAGTTAACCTGGATATTGTGAATTAACTTAACTAAATGTTGTTTTATTAGGAACACAGCTAATCAAATATTATAATTCTAAATAAAGACATAAAAAATAGTAACGACAAACAATAATAAATGATCTAACAATAATTAATTTTCGTTCATTAATATCTCCATCTTTTTTGTAAAATTTTTATTTTTAATTCATGTTCTTCTGTTAACTTTTTCCTATGAAACCCAAGAAAACTTAGTTTTTCTTGAGTTAATTGTTCGAAAAGTAGTTATGTAAATGCTTGTCCTTGTCTTCTTTTCCCTGTTCTATTAATTTACTGTTAACTGGTTCTTTCAACATTTTGGGGGTGTATTCTGTCCAGTTGTTGGCTTCTCCTGCCCTCCCATCTGTGTTGACCATCCCATCGCTATCGACAAATTAGTGAGTTCATTTTCCATGTTCTTCATGAGGACTGACTCATCTTGATCGCAATCGAAAAGGGAAGTTAAACCATATATTTGATCACCTAATATTTCTTCCAATGTTTTGTCTATTTCGTCCGTATCTTAAATTTTACCGGACATCCCCCAGTTTGTCATATACTGTTCCTGTTTGACATTATTTTGACTTTCGATGTTTTTTATACTTATTTATTAGACCTTTTTATCTCGTAATACTCGAACAGGGCTCGTGCTTATCGTTCAAAATCAGATTAAGCAGCAACTGATCTTCTGTTTTACTAAAATTGGTTGGTCTCGATCTGGACTCTTTTTTCTCAATCTCACTCATTTTAGCTGATAATACTTTACCCAAAGATTCAAACTATCTAATCGAACCCAATAAACAACGCACTGCGTAGAAACCTTTAAAAACTCACTCTATCAGACCGTCCATAGATGGTTTCAAAAATTTAAAATAAAATCCATATATTAATATTAGAATCACGGATACCAACATAAAGATAAACTTCTTAATTTAGAGTTTCTAAACTCCGGTAGCAAAATCTTTGGAAAAATCCATAAAAACATAACTTCAAGTTAACTTCGAATTTAAGTTAATCCTAGGTTTACTAACACGAAAGTTTACTCGCATTGGAAATAACGGGCCTAAGAGTAGATTTCTGGGGGTAAATATAAAAAAAAAATCAAAATATTTCTATGAGCTCATGCCGGAATATTTTTCCTTTTAAAAGTATATTTCTACAGGGTGTCTCAAAAATGCACACTAACGCGATACTGCTTGAATTTTTGTAATTTGTTTGTTCCTAAAAATAAAAGTACAATTTTTTTTCTGACAAGCTGTTTTTGAGTTATACAATTTTATAAAAAATAAATTTTATTTTCTTAATTTTATTCATTTATATAAAAGGATTTGACACAATTTCCTAATGACGCATCAAATCTAAAAAGTAAAAATTTGTTAATAAAGCTGATGATTTAAAATTTTGATTTTTTTCAAACTGTCAGAAAGCACATATATCAACCATGTTAACTGTAGACAGCGGCTAAAAGCCTTGTCTGTATAATATAACTGCTTAGGAAAACCGCGTTATCGATTTTTTAAGCTTAAAAGCGTAATAACCCGAAAACGACTTGTCGAAATGAATTATTTTAATTAAAATTTCCTTCTATACAGCGTGGCATACCTTTAGTGCGCTACAGTTAATCTTGTAAAACGAAAACAAAAACAAACCCAACCCTTTACAATAAAGAAATATTCATATTTCATATAATATTATTTATTATCTATGATTATACATATTACCGTAGCAAAATGATGAAGATGAAGGGTTAATAATCTAAAATATTTATGAAAAAATAAAATATAAATGCTTTTTAATGCCTCATTATATTATTTTGTTATATAAATTCATAAAATAAAAAAGTTGTAAAGGCGCCAAGCATCGAACCCACTATATCTGGCATGCTAAACAAGCGACCTTCCATCTGAGCTACCCAGCCTTATATCATTTTTATAACGCTCGGGAAATAATACCGATGTACAGTGTGTAACGTCAAATTATGACGTCAGTCACGACTCAGGACTGTAAACACAGAGTTAAGTAAAACAGTAAGTTTAACTCGATCTTAATAATTATGTTGGAAATATTTTCTTTAATGCGAAGGTTTTCTATTTTAATAGTTGGTCAAAAGTCAGTTCAAACTGCCCTTAATAGAAGTAAGACCGGAATGTGCGGCAGTGATAAGAAACCTGCCAGTGGATGAACCTCCTTTGGCCCCACCCAGACATTCAAGTGATAGCCCCTATTTTATGGACAATGCTTCGCCCGATAAATACTTAAAATCAGGTACAATTATATTTTTTACAAAAAAATATTAATTTAACCAGCAAAAATATTAATTTAACCAGAAAAATATACTTGGTGTTTTACAAAATCGCAAAATAGACTTTTTCTTAATTTTAAATAAAGAATCTTTTCTTGTCGATGGCTCCCCACTGGAAAAAAAAATTACAAAATATGGCTGCAATGTTTGCAGAGGTTACAAATAATAATTATTTATGTCATTAGGTCAAGAAGTGCCTTTTGTACTTTTTCATCTTAAAATTGTATTCTCTCTTTCGAGAGAATTGGTCTCGAGTCAAATACGCTCTTACAAGTTTCCATGCGCTTCACGAAGCCATCCACAGACATGTTAATTTATCAAAATTGAATCATAAAAGGGATTGACCTTGCGATACAGGTATATTTTTATACCGGGAATCCAATTTCGTCTTATTAAAAGGTTATGACACTGTCATAATGACATAATTTGACATTTTTTTATTGGTCCAAAGTAATTACTTACTACCAAACTAATTGGTATAAATCATTTTTAAGTTCCTATAGGCCATAATCAAACACTTAAAAATTCACAGAAGTTAATCTATAATTTTTAGGAATAACTTTTAATTTAATAATATAATAAAAGTGTAGTTAAACCTAAAGGCCTAAAGTGCTTAATTTGCAAAAGAACTTTGGCAAAAAATACATACCGAGTACAGTAGATAAAATGTGAAAAGTGGGCACATCAAACGTGCATAAATATACCTAAAGAAAAACTAGAAGATAAGAAAAAGCAAAATTAGTCGAATGGGAATGTCCTGAATGTAAAGAAGAAACAGAGCAGGAGGCAGAATAAGAGGAATACTTATCACTCTTTGTAACTAGCAGCTGTCCATTTCTTTTCTCATTATCTGGGCATTTAATAATTTTTACAAGCTTTTCTTCCATTAACGAAAACTTGTAATCCTATAAATTCATTGCTTTTCTGGTAAATGTCTTAACAAGTTCTGAAGAATCACGTGTTACTGAAGTCATATTTGCAGAACAATGAATACATAAAAACACACCAAAGAATATATATACTTTTTTTATACCTATAGGTTATAAATTATAACCTATAGGTATGCATAATGCATTTATATTTTTTAAGAATAGTTCCTTTGGTCGCGTTGGATATAATTTGCTTTTCTTTTTCGCTACTAGAATTTGTGTAATTTTCCTTTATTTGTGCAACTAATGCATTGTGAAACACAAGAGTCTTCTTTACAGTTTCTGGAACATTATATCCTTTGGTGTCTTCTAAAGCTTTGGTGTAAGGGCTAGCTTCTTCTGTTTTCTGAATCTTTGGTACAATATTCTTCTTTTGGTACCGATGCATCGCGATGGCAACGTTTTTTATACTTTTGCAAACTCTTCTTGGTCTTCCATAATTCTTTTTCCAGAACCCGAATTTTTCGATATGCGGCACTTCTGTCTTTGCGAATCCTCTTTCTTCCGGCAAATCTGTTAACTGCTAAACAACGATCATTTCTTGGAGTTACATTTATAACTTCAACGTCTTCCATAGGCATAGGATGTGGCAAGGGTTCTGGCAAAGGCACTGGACTGCTCGGCGGAGTATTTTGCTGAATAAACTGGTTCTGCCTATTTTCATTTAATTTTTTTTTACGACTTTTTTGCTGATATAATCTCCATTTCTTTCTTTGATAACGTTGCTCCTTTGTGGAAAGTTCTTCTATAGCTTTTTAAGACTTCTTAGCTCTTTTTCTGCTTTTTTCTAAATACTCTTGTCTTTTTTCTGGGTTTTTCTTTAATTTTTCCCTATAGCGCTTTGCGCGTTCGGCTGGTGTTAATGGCATATCTAAACAATATTTATATTCCTTTCAGTCTCAGTCACAAACACTATTTTAAGTACTGTATTTTATTAAAAAATCACTATTTTACACCGCGTGGTTATTAGTTAGACTTTCTTTGGTAAACTGGCCGATACCTGGAAAAGTAAACTGGTCTCGTTTTCGAATTTTACACTGTTTTGCAAGTAGTGACGAAGCTGACATAATTTTCGGGGACAATACTCTAAAACAAGTTAATATAGAGGAGTAGAAAATGTATGCATTTTTTTGGTAAAGGATGAAAACTAAAGTTTTCATCTTCCTATACATTAGTTCAATTTTTTAAAAATAACAATATTTTTATCGAAAAAGTACAAAAGCGTGTAAGCCTCTAAGCAAGGGACAGTGACGAACCCTGACATTTTGTTACTTTAAATTCAAATAAGTCAAATTTGGAAAAAAATTTACCCAATATTTTTTTATAATCAGATATAATGCTGTTTTTTACTTCTAATCAACCAACTAATTTCCCTCAACGAGCAAATACTTTGAAAAAAAATCTTAGGGACACTAGTTGTCAGAGTTAAATGAGAAAGACCCATATGCGCCCAAGAGAATCTCCAGAGAGGCTACTCGGGTAAACATATCTACATATGCAGCGACAGTCAAGCAGCACTTCGGGCTCTTCACTCGGAAAGGGTCAACTCGAGACTTACACTGGACTGCATAAAAACCCTTGAACTACTCAGTGCTCAACAAGGTTAACCTTATCTGGGTACCGGGTCATCGAGGCATCAGAGGCAACGAGGAAGCAGACCAGCTGGCTCGTGAGGGCAGCAACACGGCCTTCTTGGGGCCAGAACCTGTCATAGGGGTCGCCTCATGTCTGGTAAAAACCAAAATCAGGAACTGGACTAACGACCAGTTCCAGAAAAAATAGCGTGAACAACAAGGCCTCAGGCAGTCAAGGGCCTTTATAAAGAGTCCTACTACCTGCAAAGAGGCAAAAAGACTCCTGAAACTTAACAGGAACCAGTTAAGAACCATCAAAGGAGTCCTAACAGGACACTGGGTGGTCAAATACCACCTACACAAAACCGGACTCAGCAACGAGTCGGACTGTGGGTACTGCAGCGAAGTAGACGAAACTACCGAGGGGACAGATACTTGGAACCAGAGGAAATAATGCATGCCCGACCAGAGCGGGTCTGCGCTTTTCTTAAAAGCTGCGGGCTCGTAAGGTAAGGCAGAGCTTCACCAAAAGGGGGTTTGCACAATGGGCCGTATGTTTGCCTAAGTGCTGCCTGCAAAGGCTCCCCTTCAAATCAAATCAAATGGACAAGCTTTACAGAATTGAAGAGTGGTATTCCCAAAGGCCCAGACAGCAATATGACGTCTTATTTTAATAATTTGCTCGTATTCGCTTATTTTAGGAATTGCGATTACTTCGTCTCACTTTTGTTTAAATTTAAGCGTGCTCTTCACCGGCACCGATAGACGGCCTGTTTCCCTCTTTTGGAGCTCGTCAGTATCGGGTAGTCGTTTACCTAGGTCCAAGACCGTTTGGTATGAAGCACGCTCTATATTCTACTTCGCCGCTTCTTATATCAAACACAAGCAGTTACAGCGGTGAGAAGAAAGAATCGCATTAAAATGTCATAAATGTGACGTCTCCATGTTGACGTCTTAAAGAGTTAATAATATGACTTCAGTAAGAAGTAAGAAAAGAGAATACTGTAAGATATCATATAACTAAAGTCTTCTTTATGATACCTACCCTTAGTAGCTTCTAATTTTGATTCCAATAAGAGGTCAGAAAAAAAGATACTTTAAGATGTTAAAAAATTTATGAATTCATCAAGAACTCTTAATCTTGAGCTCCTAAAAATGATTTCTCTAAGATTTCATATTGTGACCTCAGTAAGACAGACTTCGTACAGAAATCTTTCTGAATTGGATGCTGTCTGGGGGGTCTGGTGGCTAAAAGTGCTGTTGCTATGACGACAAAATCGGCAAAAGTACATCGATTCTTCATCCCTTGGACATGAAATCTTCGTTAAAATTAGAATTGTAGTTGCTTCGCTACACGAGTTATCTGATAAAAAGAATTATTTTTGCCTACCCCTTAAATGACAAGCAATGCATTAAATTTTAATGCACTAGTGTATTAAAATTTAATGCACGAAATAAAGTTAGACTTTATGTCAAAATTGGGAAAAAGTGAGGTTAGAATTAAATGTATACAATTGCCCCTTAAGGGGTGAGTATATATAAAAGTAATAGAAAGTAAGATTAAAACCGCTTTAAATTTTAATATTAAAACTTTGGTTACTCTATTATTTAGACACCCGTTCATTATGTACTTGCTTCGAATAATTAAACTCGTGACTTAAATAGCGTTGATAAAAATCTAGTTGCATAATATACTATAAATTGACTGCTCTCGCTAATCTTATTATAATTATCATTATACAGGGTGTTTCTTTTAACTTGAGACAGCTCAATATCTCGAGAAATACGCATTTTACGGAAAAATGTCTTAAATAAAAAGTTAATGTGACTAAAGGGGACATTATTTAGTGCTACCGCTAGCCACCCCCTACCCCTCCTTAAGGGTGAAACGGGGGGTAACTTTGGGAAGTCAACTTTAACGGTTAAGTGGAAGAACAGATGTTTTCTTTTAAACACGCTGAACTTCGCCGTTTGAAAATGTAAAATGTTTCAATAAAGACTTATATTATTATTATTATTATTATTATTATTAAATGGAATGACCCGATTTTTTCAGAGTTTGGTAGTACATAAAAAATAAATAACTTTTATTTAAAACTTTTTTCAATTTATCAACAGATGGCGCTGTAATTCAAAATTTAAGAAAAATGAGTTTCCTTGTAAAATGTATTATTTGAAACGTTTGAAAAACAAAAATTAACATTAACAACAATAGTCGGCTATGAAAACAATTTATAACAAATGTTCGAAATGTCGTCATTCCATTTCAACACATTTTTGAATGCGGGTAATGAATTCTGGCACACAACGCGCCAACATGTCGGGCGGTATCGCCGCACAGGCGTTCCTGATCCGCTCCACCATTTCCTCCCAAGTTGTAGGAATTGCAGCGTAAACTTTTTCTTTCAAGTAACCCCACTGGAAGAAGTCTGGTGGCGTAAGATCAGGTGATCGAGCAGG